CCATCACAGGAACCCAGGAGTTTGAGTCCAGCCTGGGAAATGTAGCAAGACCCTATCTCAAAAATAGCCTGGTGTTGAGCCTGAGATTTACCTCAGTGGTTCCAGCACCTGCCTCGCAAGCGCAAGGTCCCGAGTTGGATCCCTGGTACCAAAAAAAAAAGAATAGCCTGGTGTGGTAGCACACACCTGTAGTCCTAACATTTGGGAAGCTGAGGCAGGAGGATCCCCACAAGTTCAAGGCCAGTATGTACTACTTAGACTCTGTCTCAAAAAAACAATTTAAAAATAAATAAATAATTTAAAAACCAAAAATAAGTAAAAGATTAGAGTAGTCTTTCCTAAAGTTTCATACAATATATATACACTCCTGTGTGGCTTCTTTCATTTAACATTTTATTTTTGAAATTCACTCATTGCTGTATGTACAGTACAGTAGTTTATTAGTTTTTGTTACTGAATCATAAGTGGTTCCCTTATTTGGACATGGAATTTGTTTCCATGTTATTTTTGATAGACTTTTGGGTTATTTCCAGTTTTTAGCTTTAGTTCAAATTAAGCTGTTATGAGCAGTTATGTACATGTGGCATATTTTTTTGAAGCCAAACCTTTATTGGTACATTTTAGTTATACATAATGATAACATTCATCATAAGGAATTTGTACCTGTACCTGATACAGCTTGTTGCTTCTTTTTTTCCAATTCCCCCACACATACTCCCTCCCACCTCACTTCCCCTCCTTATATAGAAAAGCTTTGTTTCGGTTTTTTTCTTCTGTTCTCTTTTTTTCCTTATCCCTTCTTTCCCTCCCCCCTCCCTTGTTCCTCTTCTCATTTGAACATTTTCTTCCCATTTCCCAATATTTATTATACATTTTAGTCCTTATTTCCACTTTCAGTTTCTCACACCAGACAAACAATGCAGTATTTAAACATGTGTGTCTGATTTATCTCACTTGAGAGTATGGTCTCAGGTGCATCCATTTAGCTAGAAATGTCTCATGTTTATCCTTCTTTATGGAAGAGTAGTATTCCATTGTATATAAAAACAATCTTTAATCCATTCATTGGTTAATGGGCTGTTTCCAAGATTTAGCTATTACAAACTGTGCTGCTATAAACATGAATATGCATATATTGCTGAGGTATGGTGCTTTCATTTCTTTCTGGAAGATACCAAGAAGGGAAATAGCTGGGTTGAATGGAACTCTTAAGTTTTAGTTTTTTGTTGTTTGCGGGGTGGGGGGTGGGGTGCACCGGAGATCGAACTCAGGACCTTGCACTTGCGAGGCAGTCAGTGGTACCATTGAGCTAAATCCCCAGCCCTAATTTTGAGTTTTTTGAGGAATCTATATGGCATGTTTTCATTTAGGTAAATAATTAAAAGTGAATTGCTGGGGATCGGGGATGTAGTACAGTAGTGCCACGCCTGCCTGGCAAACACAAGGTCCTGAGTTCAATCCCCAGTACTGGGGGAAAAAAAAGTGGATTGCTGGCTCATATGATAAACATGTTGATCTGTATGAGGAAGTGCTAAAACTGTTTTCTGAAGCAGTTACAGTGGACCCTTTACTTACGAACTCAATTCATTTAAGAGGGCTGGTTGTAATTCAAGTTGGTCAGTTGAAGGCTCAGACTCCTCTACACAGCCTTCAAAGTCTCTCTCCTGTGTACAGGCAGATCTCAGAGTCCTTAGAGAGACATTGGCCCAGGAGTTCTCAATTAACCCCACACAGGAAAGGATGTTGTAATGTTCCTTCCAGAACTCTTTAAGGGTAAAATCTGTATCTGAGACCATCTGGAAGCACAAGCAGCTGGCATTCAGGTCCTAACTCAAGACTTTGGTCATAAGTTAAAACTAAAACTGCATTATAACCCAAGTTGTCTGTATGTCAAACCAGTCGTAACTCGAGGGTCTACTGTATGCCATTTCACATTCTGCCAGTGTAACAGTTCAGGTTGTTTCAACATTTGTGTTCACGCGAGTGTACAGTGATGTCTCATTTTAATTTCCATTGGTGATGTAAATATCCTTTCTACTGCCTTTTGGCCTTTTGTATATCTTTTGTAAAGTGTCTTTTGTTCATGTTTATTGAGTGTCTTATTATTATTGAATCATAATGGATACAAGATCTTTGTCCAATATATGTATCACTAATATTTCCCCATGACTGGTTTCCTTTTCATTTTCCTTAGTATATCTTCTAGAAAACAGAAATATTTAATTTGGGGAAGTCAAAAATCCAATTTTGTCTTGATTCCTGTCCTCTGTACATCTGGGTACTAGGTACTTAAGTCTTTACCTAACTCAAAGAGCTCAAAAAATTTTCTTCACTGGCTTTCAGAATATGGTTTATGGGCCCGTCTAGAGGTTTGTGAGATCAGAACTACTTTCCTAATAGTGCTTAGACTTCACTCTCATTCTCTCCTGAGTCATTTTCTAGAGTCTGCCTGACTTATGATATTGCAGTAGATTGAAAGCAAGATGTATGAGAATCCAGATGTCTTCTATTAGGCAAGATACTAGATTAGCAAAGAGAAAACAGTGCCACTCTTAGTCACTAAAGACTTTTTGTAGGCTAGTGTGATGGTGTGCGCCTGTAATCATAGCACTATGGAAGGTTGAGGCAGGAGGATTGCCAAGTTCAAACTCAGATTAGTAGTGACTTTGAAACAAGACCGTGTTTTAAAACTAACTAACCAGGGCCAGGGATGCAACTCAGTGGTGCTGCACCTGCCTGGCAAGTGCAAGGTCCTGAGTCCTTCGTACAAAAAACACATTAAGTAACCAACTAAACAAATAAATGGCTGGAGATATAGCTCAGTGCAATGACCCTAGGTTCAATCCCCAGTATTGAAAAAAAAAACAAAAACAAAAAAACCTTTTTGCATTAGAAAGTATAATTTTTTGTAAAAATAGGGCATTTATGTTAATTTAGTAAATTTAAGCTAACATGTATTTTTAAGTGTTCTGAATCTGATTTTTGGTGGATTTTTTTGAGGAGTAGGAATCAAACCCTGTGGACACTCTCCCACTGAGATACGTCCCAGCCTCTTTTTTTTTCTTTTTTTTTTAGACTCTCAGTAAACTGCCCAGGCAGGGGCCAGGGATTTAGCTCAGTGGTTCTGCCACCTGCCTTGAAAGCTAAGGACCCGAGTTCAATCCCCGGAACCAGAAAAAACAAACAAACAAACAAAAAACTGCCCAGGCAGGATTTGAACTTGCTATCCTCCTGCCTTGGCCTTCTCCATACTGGGATTACAAGCATGTACCTGAGACAAGGTCTTGCTATATAGCTCAGGCTGGCTTCGATCTCGTGGCAATCCTCCAGCGTCTGTCTTCTGAGTGCCGGGATCACAGCCGTTTGCCACCATGCCCAGCATGCTTTAATCTTTTGTGTTTAGATCTAGAATTCATATTGAATAATTTTTAAGGATAGTGTATAAAATAAAGGTAGAGGTTCATTTTTCCCTATATATAGATGTCATTATTCCAGTACCACTTGTTGAAAAGATTAAGAAACCCCTGAGAGGGCTGAATATGGCCATAGCTGTTTGCTTTCTTTCCTGTCAGTTACCCCCTCTTGTGTTACCTGCCTTGCACACTAGTACCATTGAGCTCAGCATCTGAGCCACAGACATCAGGGTTCCTCCAGCTCTGCTGCCCTCCCCTCTCCTCCTGAGCACAGTGAACTTGCCTACTACCTTTTTTCACATGTTGCCCTTGACTCTCACCACCCTCCGCTGGGTCGGTCCATTTCTTCCAAACACTGGATCGCTCTTGCCTCTGACATAGCACGTTGCATGTCCCTCTGGTGCCACATGGTTGCATTGCTTCATTATCGGTTGTATGTATATGTCTCCACCAGCAGCTTTGTTGCTTCTGTGGCTCAGGATCTTTGTATGCCCAGACAACAAGAGATGGAGTTTAGGCCTGATAAAAGTTTATTGAATTGTGGGCTTGTAAGTCAACTCTTCATACACTCCCCCCTCACCAGCTACCTTGGTTGTCCCCCCTGTGAGGATGGAGAATGGCAAATATTTCTTCCCCAAACCCTGGGCCCAGGTTGCTCCATCCTCTTGTACAGAGAGATTGGCCGGGCTGCCAGCTGAACACGAGTCTGTACTTGCACTGGAACTACAGAAGCCTGCCTGGAGAGGATCAGTGGAGCAGAGTATGAGAGAGGGTGGGAGGCAGGTGCCATGCTACCATTCTGGGGGAGGAGAATAGGCATCCTCAGTGGGTGCGAGATCCCCATTAGGGATCTGAGAACTTCTATATTCAAAGCACCCTGGATCCTCTGTTGTGACAATGAGCAGCTTTTTTTTTTTTTTTTTTTTTTTGGGTATCAGGGATCGAACTCAGGACCTTGCACTTGTCAGGCAGGCAGTGGAACCACTGAGCTAAATCCCCGGCCCACAAGCAGCTTTTGAGGATTGGTCATAGTGAAAGGAACAAAGTTAGTCTATCCTGTCACTACCACCACTGCCATCATTGCTAAAGAGATGGAATAGAGTAAAGTGCACACTGTTGGTCTGGGCCAAGGCCTGAGATGCACACAGCTATGCTGGGTCCCTGTGCCTTAAACCTGGGTGAATACCATTGTTTTTTTCTCAAGTTCTTTCATTGGCCTTAAAGCAGCTACATTGGTGTCATCGCTGCCTCATCCAGACCCTGGAATTTTTAGGTCATTTCAGGGCAGACCAGGAGCTTCTCAGGTAGGACTGGCTCTACTGCCTCTACCAGAAAGATCATGGTTTTGTTCCTTTCTCCACCATCAGTTGCTTAAATTGGGGAGAGTACTTGCTTCTTGCCACACTGGATTTGAGTGTCACTGGGTTCTAATCTGGCATCTTCTGTGTCCCATGTTCGGGAAGATTTCCTTCCTCAGTGTTTTTCTAGGATGCAGTTGAGCACAGAATTTCAAGGAGGCCCCAAAGGAGACAGAAAGGAAAGGAGCTAGGGCTTATAGTACAGCTTGCTCTCTGCTCTCCCCTGCAGGTGACTGCTGAAACTCAGGAGAAAGAAAAACTCATCACGCATTTGGAAGAGAAGGTTGTGTCCTTGGAGAGGAGATTGGAGCAGAACTTATCAGGAGAAGAATATGTGCAAGAACTCCTGAAGGAGGTAATTTTCACTCTCCTTGTGCTGGCTCATGTGGGAAAGGCAATGGTGACCATCAGTCCTGGAGTTTCAGAGCTGAGGGTCAGCAAATAGCTTGGTGAGAAGATTGCTCTCTTCAACTTTGTGTATTTGTGAGAGTTTTGGTTTTTTTGGATATGGGGTTCTCGTATTTCCTAGCCCAGCCCTGAACTGAACTCAAGCAATCCTTCTGCTTCACTCTTTTTTTTTTTTGGTACCGGGGATCGAACTCGGGTCCTTGCGCTTGCAAGGCAGGCAGCGGAACCACTGAGCTAAATCCCTGGCCCTACTTCACCCTTCTGAGTAGCTGGGACTACAGGGGTGCATCTTCATCCCTGACTTTTCCAGCTTTGGATTGTTCTGCTTGCATCAAAACAGTCTGTGTGCCCTGCCCATTCCTTAGGAAAAAGGAGAGCTCTGTTCCGAGATGTGTGTGAATGGGTTACACTGGATCCCCTGGTGATTTAACCCCCTGCACTGTGTCTTCATGTACTGATTCCTGCCCACCCTGGTGCGTGCTCTGTTGGGCAAGGAAAATGTTTGCCATCTCTCTTTGGCATGAGCAAGATGAGCTCAGGGCCAGGCATGTAGCTCAGTGGCACTGCACCTGCCTGGCAAGTGCAAGGTCCTGAGTTTAATCCCCAGTAACCGAGGGAAAAAAAAAAAAAGAGCCCAAGCAGTGACTCTCCTCATCTGAGGGCCTGCTGGGCAAGTGACCTGTTGCCCAGTGGCATAAGTGAATTCCTCATCAGGTCTGGGCCTGATCTCTGCCCCATTCTCCTACACCTTCTCTTCTGTCCCAGTGACTGGCCTCATCATGGTACAGGTGACAAAGCTAAGGCCTTAGGCTTATTCTAGTGTAGCCCCTCACTTTCTATCTCTAGTCAGTGTCTCCAAATAAAAAGGGGCTGAGGATGGAGCTCAGTGTGAAGCCCTGGTACCAATCTATAGTACCCAAAAAAAAGGAAAAAAGAATGGTAATTGGAACATAGTAGGGCCTAAGTTACATCAGCTATTCATATTATTATTGTGACATCATCATTATTACAAAATTTACAGAGTGCACAGGAATTTCTTGGGAGTTTGTTTAAAGTATTTTCAAAGGGCCAGGGACTTAGCTCAGTGGTTCTGCTCCCTGCCCCGTAAGCACAAGGACCCGAGTTCAATCCCTGGAACGAAAAATAAATAAGTATTTTTGGGCCGGGGATTTAGCTCAGTGTTTCCGCCGCCTGCCTTGCAAGCTCAAGGACCCAAGTTTGATCCCCAGTACCAAAAGATAAATAAAATAAAATTTAAAAAATATAAAGTATTTTCAACCCAACCCCTGAAATTCTGATTTCACTAAGCCTGGAATAAGGTCTCAAGTTGTACAACTACCCCCAGGTAAATTTAATGCCAAAGTTTGGAAGACCCCACTTTAAAAAATGTTGCCCACAGAATAACATTCAGACTTTTTTCCTGCAGCATTATAAAGCCTCTTTTTATCTGGCTCTTTTGCCCAACTTTGTAATCTCATTTCTTTTTTTTTGGTACCAGGGATTGAACTCGGGTCCTTGCACTTTTGAGGCAGGCAACAGAACCACTGAGCTAAATCCCCAGTCCCTGTAATCTCATTTCTTGACCTAACCCCATCACTTGGGCTTTGGGAGTTACAGTTCCTTGAAGGCAGCAAGCTCTTCTCTTCCCAGCAGTCACCACCAGCCTGCCTCCCCAGCCACTGGCTGCCTAGGACTTAGGAAACTCCCACTTGCCATGGCCCTGTCTCTCGCTCTGTGTGCTGCCCTTGCAGCCTCTTACTGCATTAGTTATTTGACCCAAACTCAGGGACAAAAGACTGCCAAATTTATCTGTGTGCGCTTTTTGATCTATGAATTGAATTTCTATTTGCTGGGTTGTTTTTGTTTTTTTTTATGTCCCCTGTACATGTGTTACAGGGATCAGTAAATAGTTATTCAACAGAAAAATGACTACTTTCCTTTGCTCATCTTTCAACTTACAGAAAGCAGTTGCTGAGCAGAATTTGGAGGATACCAGACAGCAACTGTTGGCAGCCCGAACCAGCCAGGCCCAGGGCATCAGCATCCTGGAGACTCAGGTACTCACCTTCCTCAGGGCTTCCTAAGTCTGGGTGGTGACCTGTCTGAATGATCTTTCATGGGGTAGAGAGTTATTTTCTTCACTCATGCCTCATTCTCATCATTGTTCCACATAAAGTTGTTCTCTTGATTATTTAGCTCCTTTTATTCCCATTGGCCTCCATCCTGTAGGAAATCATATGAATGTGGTTAATGCAGACCCTACCTTAAAATGGGTAATATTGCTTGATGTACATGTTTTTTTTGTTGTGTTTGCTTTTTTTGGTACTGGGGATCGAACTCGGGTCCTTGCGCTTGCACAGCAAGTGGCGAAACCACTGAGCTAAATCCCTGGCCCCCATGTGTTTTTAATTTGTGTAAATGTAAATGACATAGCTATGGATAGGTCTTCTTTGTTATTTTCAGCTGTCCCATCTCCTGTATCTGTCTCATAGTGCTTACCTACTTCCTAGGCATTTATCTATTACATGGCAGACACTCAGGTTGCCCTTCTCTTCCTGTCGCCTCTAGTTACCCTCCAGTGAACGCCGTGTTCCTAGCTCCCTAACTCCCATAGAATGCTAGACAGTGTGACTGAGTAGGATGAGATTCTTCCCAGAAGAGCTGTATCTGGCTGTCCTACTTTTTTGTTGTTGTTTTTGCTTTTTGCTTTTTGTTTTTGATACAGAGGATTGAACTCAGGACCTTGCACTTGCAAGGCAGGTGCACTGCCACTGAGGTAAATCCCTGGCCCTATCTGGCTGTCCTCCTGCAGCATGCATGAGGGTACCTAAATCTGTATTTCTGCTTTTTTCTGTCGTTAATATTTCAAAAATCAGTGCCACAAACAAAAAAATTATTTTACGTATTTCCCAGTCGATGTCTTATTTTCTTGGCTAAATTATTTTTTTAATTTTTTTAGGTTTTTTTCTTTTGAGACAGAGTCTCACTGTGTAGTTCAGGCTGGCCTTGAACGCACAGTAATCCTCCTGCCTCAACCCCTGAATGCTACAATTGCAGGCATGCACCACCAAGTCCACCTATGACTAAGTTAATAATTTCTAGAACCCTAGAGTTTATGTTGATACTATGATAGAACCTTACTTTTATGTCTTTTGGTTTTGGTTGTGGTTTTCGGGTTTTTGAAACAGGGTCTCACTATGTAGTTCAGGTTGGCCTTGAATTCATTATGTAGCCCAGGCTGGCCTTGAACTCAGGGCAGTCATCCTGCCTCAGCATCCTGAGTGTTTGGGATTACAGGTGTCCACCACCACCTTGGCTCTGTTAGTTTGTTCTTGGATATTTGACCATCCTGAACTCTTACTCTAATAATTGTGTAATGTCTTTTGTTTGTCCTAGGCAGATAATTATATCTTTAAGTAGTGGCAGCTCTATCTTACCCTTTTTAATCTCTTTATCTCATTCCTTTTTCTGCCTCATAGCATTTGTAAGGATCTGCAGTTCTGTATTAAACAGTAGCAGTGATAGTGGTCATCCTTGTTTTGTTCCCAATCTTAAAGGAAATTTGCCTGAAGTTTCTTCATATGGTATCATTGCCATATGGGTTAGGACCACAAGTAACTGGCAACATACCACAATTCTTTTTTTTTTTTTTTTTTGGTACCTGAGGTTGAACTCAGGTCCTTGTGCTTATGCAGCAGGCGGTGAAACCACTGAGCTAAATCCCGGGCCCCACACCACAATTCTTTATCTTTGCCAAAAGCTTACATTCCAAATAAGACCTATAGGCCATCATATAGAGTATAGATAGTTTAGTATAAAATGATAGATTTTCTACTTCCAATTTGACATTTTTCTCTTGGATTTATCCATCTAACCTTGGTTTTTGTTATGGCTTATGTTTAGATGTCCCCCAAAGCCTCATGTGGTCATAGGTGGGGCTTTTTCAGAGGTGGCTGAATCTAGAGTGTGTGATACTGGAATTGATTCATGGTGCAATGCTAGGATCAAGGACACTAGGATTAAGGGTGTGTTACCTGCCCTAATTGCCTGGATAAGATTTAAGGGATAGAAAGGACTGTGGTCATCCCTTGCTTGCTTTGCTGCCTTCTGCCCGGCATGTACTGTTTCTCCTCTGAGATTCCTGTCTGCCACGCTACTCTGCCTTGGAGCCAGCCAATTATGGACTGAAACCTGCACAAACTGAGGTATATAAATCTTTCCTCCTTTAACTTTGGATGTCAGCAGAAATCTAGATGTCCGGGAAGATAGTGGAGTGGTGAGCAGTAGAGAAAAAGCCTTTCCAAGATTTGGTGCCCTGACATTGGAATATAGCAGCACAAGAAGGAGAAGAAAGAGGGAAGTGGGTCCCTAGGACCCAGGAAGTATCTGAGGCAAGAATTGAAGTCCACAGGGAGAGCAAAGAGAGAGACTTCAATGAAGAGGAAAAGTAGCGGTCTCTCCCAGAGCCCTAATACTTGGCAAGGAAACGGCAGGCCACACAGTGACTACTGGGGACCCCAAAGGCCTCCACAGAAAGACGCACCAGTGGAATGGAGCAGTGGACACACTGGACTGCAACAGCTGTTGAGTTATCCAGGTTCAGGGCAATTGGCCAGTAACCATCTTGGAGAGGGGCCAACTAAGCTCGGAACTCAGAATAGCTGTGGGCGAACCCCATCCAGTGGCTGCAGGTGCCTTGGTGCTGGTACTGAGTTCAAGACAGCGGGAGGCCAGGGAGCGGATTTGAAGCCAGCAGGAGATACATAGATTGTTATAGACTCAAGGAATCCCATTCCAGCCTCATAGCCAGAAACCAGCCTGAAATTCAGAGAAACTAAAGGGGAAGGCTGGCTGGGATCATCCTCTACCCCACCATGAAGCTGTGGCTGGTTTGCTGGGACTAATCATCTTGGCTCTAGACTCTGTTTGCCCATGTTGCCTGCTAGTGACAGCAGAGACATATCTTGAATTGGACATTTTGGGAGTTTTTATTTTCTTTCTTCTTTTCTTTTTTTTTTTTTTTTCCTCACTGGTTCTTGTTCTGTTTTGTTTTTTCTTGATTGTTTGAACATGGCTACTAGTTTTTTGTTGTTGTTGTTATGTTCTTATTTTTATTTTTTCCCTTTTCTCTTTCTCACCTGGCTTCTTCACTAGTTTCCTAAAGTTTGTCCTCCATCCTTGCTTCTGATCTCTTCCTCTTCTATTTCTGTTTTTTACCCCCTAACCCCCTTTAAATCTTGTCTCCTAAGGGTAAAATTGCCATAGTAAGGGTTTATTTATTACATACAATTTTCAGATTTGTTCTAAATTTCATTATTATAACCACAAATCTAGTTCATATAAAGGTGGCAAATTAACAGTTACCACAAGGGCCAGGGATTTAGCTCTGGTTTCCCTGCCTGCTGCACAAGTGCAAGAACCCAAGTTCGATCCCCGATGCCAAAAAAACCCAAAACAAAACCAGTTACCACAGTTTGTCATTTTCTTTTTTTTTTTTTGGTACCGGGGATTGAACTCGGGTCCCTGCACTTGCGCAGCAGGTGATGAAACCACTGAGCTAAGTCCCCGGCCCCAGTTTGTCATTTTCTAAGGTGGCAAATTTATAGTTAACACAGTTTGTCACTTTCTAGGCTGTATTAGATGCTATTGTTATTGTCGATTGTACTACTTTAGCCAAGGTGACATAATTGTGCTAATCAGTTGTTCTTCCTGGTATACCAAGACTGAGATTGCCTAAGGGTCTTAAAAAATAAAAAAAAAAACCTATAGGCCAGTGCCAAAGTACTGGGAGCTGGGCCAAGTAGGCAGAAACTTCTCATCCCCAATAAATAGAAGAAGTAGGATCTTGCAATAGACTTAAAACCCAAAAGCCAGCTACACCTAGAAGACACTTCTTTTTTTTTGGTACCAGGGATTGAATTCGGGTCCTTGCGCTTATGCAGCAGGCAGCGAAACCAAAGCTAAATCCCCAGCCCAAACACTTCTGAGAAGTAGTCATTTCTTAAGGGTTCTGAATACTGGCAATAAAGCTACTCACCATAAGCAATTTATAAGCATCAAGCCAGGAATTAAACTTAAAAAAAAAAAGAAAGCAAATGAGAAGACACTTAAACAAGTTGCAACCCCTCCCTTCCAGGCTTTCAGCTCACCAAAGGCAAACTCCAGGGGCAATGAGGTAGAACAATCCAAAAGCCACCCACCTGGACTCTCTGAAGTGGTAACAGCAGAAGTAACAAAGCAGATGAACAACGCCCTAGAAAACAATCAAAGTAGAAATAATTTTCCAGATAACTACAGAGATGGTGACCAGAATGAAAGACATGCTTAGTGACTCTAGAGCAGAAACAGATTAAAAAAAAAAAAATAGAGGCGCTCAGAAACATGACGGAAACCATAAACACCCAGCATAGGGAAGAAATGGAAACCATGAACACCCAGCATGGAAAAGAAATGGAATCCATGAAACAGATTCAAACAGATACCCAGGAGATTAAAAATCCATTGAAAATGGGGTGGGGATTTAGCTCAGTGGCCCCACACCTGTCTTGCAAGCACAAGGCCCTTGATCCCCAGTACTGGAAAAAAAAAATCCATTGAAAGTATACAAAACAGAATGAGCCAATGTGAGGATAGACTATCAAATATAGAAGAAGGATTCTGATTAGCAATCATGAAAAGAGAGATTTCTTAAAAATAGCAAGGGAGCATGAGAAATCAATCCAGCAGCTGCTAGATGATGCAAAAAAGAATAACATACGATTGATCAGAGTCAATGAAAAAGCAGGAAATAGCACTAATGACATAAAAAACATGTTCTCAGAAGTAATGGCAGAAAACTTACCAAATAGGGAAAAAGAATCTGACATAAGTGGGGCATACGGGAATCCAATTAGCCATGATCAAAAAAAAAAACTTCCCCAAGGCATATAATAGTTAAGATTCCAGATATTTAACCTAAGGACAGAATATTAAAAGCTGTTAAGTGAAAAGAAACATCACCTATAAAGGAAAGCCCATCAGAATCACAGCCAACTTCTCAGTACAAACTCTCAAGTCAAGGAGATCTTGAAGTATTTCAAGCCCTAAGGGAAAATATCCTCCAACCCAGACTGATGTACCCTGAAAAATCTATCTTTCAAAATTGATGGATAAATAAGATACTTCCATGACAAAGAACACCTGAAGAAATACATGACCACCAAACCAGCGCTCCACAGTGTTCTGAAGGATATTCCAGAAAGAGATAACAAAGATTACAACTACATGAAGCACAACAGAATGAATCCACCAGACAAGGCAAGAAGTTAAACAGAAAAGGAAAGAAGGAAGCCAACAATAGGAAAATAACATGACAGAGATAAGACAATACACATTAGTTGTAAGCATCAATGTTAATGGTCTCAATTCACCAATCAAAAGAAACAGCCTGAGGGCCGGGGATTTAACTCAGTGGCACCTTCTCTGCCTTGCAATCACAAGGTCCTGGGTTCAATCCCCCGCCCCCCCATGCTGAAAAAAAAAAGAAAGAAACAGACTGGCAGAGTGGATCAAGAAGCAAGATCCAAGATCCAACAATATGCTGCATACAGGAAACACATTTAATTCAAAAACAAATTCATAAACTGAAAGTCAAAGGATGGAAAACAATATTCCACATGACAGGGACCCAGAGAAAAGCAGGGGTAACTATTCTGTTTGCAGACAAAGCAGATTTCAAGCCAAGACTGATTAAGAGAGACAAAGAAGGTCACTACATCCTTGTAAAGGGAACAATCCAAGAGGAAAAGATAACAATCATAATAGCTCACATACTAGTACATAGAACATGCTTTTAGGTAAATGCAAAGGAATTGAAATTATCTCATGCATATTATCAGACCATAGTGCAATAAAATTAGAAATTAATAACAAAAGAAACCAGAAGAACTTCATAAACATATGGAAATTAAATAACACCCTCCTGAACAACGAACGGGTCACAGATAAAATTAAGAAATCAAACAATTTCTACAATTAAAATGATAATCCCAATACAACATACCAGAACTTAATGGGACGCAATGACAGCAGTCTTACAAGGGAAATTTATAGCGGTGAATACCCATATCAGGAAAACAGAGCAGGCTCAAATAACTTTGGATGTCGAGTATTTTGTCCCAGCCACAAGAAAAGTAACTAACGTAGTTTTCTAATTTATTAGCATTGGTACCTTGAACTGTATTACTATATACTATATTGGCATAGAATAACACTTATGATAGTATTTTTTAATTTCTCTTGCTCCCTTGTCTCTAGAGCTTATTAACCACTTAGCAGTTTACCCCGAGCATCACTTGGACAGCACATTTGTTTACATATTGACTATCCCAAGCCATTGCTCAGGCAGGTGTCATTTCAAACAGTCAATTCTTGTTTGGAATAAATTTGATAAAGTTGT